TAGAAAAGCCATAAAGTGTGACCCATATTCTGCAGTAAAATTATGCATTCTGCTCACCAAAATATATGGGGGGGAAATTAAACGGGAACCCACAAACTGGGAGAATGTGCTTGTACACACACATACTAGTTTGCTAGGGCTGTTGTAGCAGAGTACCACAGACTGAGTGGCTTAGACAGACGTGTACTGTCTCGCAGCTCCAGAGGCCAGCAGTCTGCGACCCAGGTGTCAGCAGGGCCATGTTCCCTCTGAAGGTTCTTGGAAGGATCGGTTCCAGACTCTGTCTTTGCTTCTGGCAGTTCCTTGGCTTGTGGCAGCATAACTCTTCTTCACGTGGTCTTCTCCCAGTGTGTTTCTGTGTCCCAGTTTCCCGCTCTTATAAGGACACCAGTCATATTGGATTAGAGGCCCACCCTGCTCCAGCATGACCTCATCTTAACGAATTACCTCTGTGAAGACCTTATTTTCAGATAAGATCACAGCCTGAGATATTGGGGGTTGGGACTTAAACACATGGGTTTTGGCCGGACACAATTCAACCCATAACAACATATAACTGGCGAATAATTTAATAGTATCCATAATATTTAAAAACGTTTTTATAAGTCAATAAGAGAAAAATACCCAACAGAAAAAATGAACACTATGAAACAAACAGCGTTTTCAAAGAAGAGAAAGCATGAATAGCTGATAAGCATGAAAAGATGCTCAACCTTTTAAGCAGGGAAATACAAGCTAAATCCACAATGAGATATCCAGTGGATGGGAATAATTAGAAAGCCTGACAGTAACAGACAGCAACCCAGTGCAAAATGTATCCTGTAGCCACACCAAACCCATGTCAAAGAGCATTGAATTCACACTGGAAATCAGAAAGTCAGCGTTTCCACACAGAACAAGNTGTATCCTGTAGCCACACCAAACCCATGTCAAAGAGCATTGAATTCACACCGGAAATCAGAAAGTCAGCGTTTCCACACAGAACAAGAAATGCAATTAAATCGATATGTGACTAGGTATTCAAACAAATGCAAACAAAAAATATTTTAACAACCGCACTGCTCAAGGCCATTTGTCAGAATTTTACTACCCAGTGCTGGATCTGTCCTCTCCCTCTGCTAGTGGCCGTGAAGTTCATGTAGCCCTTCTGGCCAGTGCTCTATGAGTTCATACGGAGTGGCAGAAAAAGATCCGGATATTTTTTATGTGTCTTGATAAATTCTTTGACCCGATGATCTTACCCTGGGTTTTATTAGAATGATGTAATCTAAAAATGTCAAAGTGCCCAATTTTAGGTCATTAGAAATAACCTAAGTACCTAACAATAGGAAAAAGGTTAAACTAAATTATAGTGTTTCAGCCTAATGGAATATTCTACGTACATATTAAAATTATACTTTTTATGTCTAGGTAGTAACAGGTAGTAACATGGAAAATGTGTGTCTAAGTTTAAAGGGAGTGGGGAGATTTCAGAATTCTCCTGTTAATGCAGCTATGCAAATATAGTTTTGATGTATGACAAGAAATGAAAAAGAAGCTGAAGGGGGGTGGGCTGGAGAAAAAGCATTTGATGAAATGTGAAAAGTGCTGGGATGGTGGCTGGATTTTACTTTTTAAAAATGCATTCCACCCTAGCTGCTGTGGTTCAGTGGTTAGAGCATCGGCCCACGCACTGAAGGGTCACGGGTTCGATTCCAGGTCTAGGGCATGTATCTGGGTTGCAGGTTCGATGCCCGGCCCAGGTCAGGGGCCGTGCGGGAGGCAGCCAATCGATGTGTCTCTCTCACATCGATTTTTCTCTTTCTCCCTCCTCCCTCCCAGCCTTCCACTCTCTTTAAAAATCAATGGAAAAAATATCCTCCAGTGAGGATTAACCAAAACAAAACTGCATTCCTATTTTCATGTTGTTCGTGCAGTAAAGGAAGAGATAAACTATTTCTCCCCCCCATGAGAACTAAGGCAGGGGAGCTCAGAGCAGCTGTGCTTGGACCTCAGTAAAAGTTGTGTGCACATACCTGAAGCCCTCTGCTGGGTGAGAGAGCAAGGGGCCCTTTAGAAGCACTTCAAAGGAAGTACTACAAGAGGAGAGCCGGGCTGTTGTTTTCCCCAGAAAGTGCCTTTTGTCCCAAATGGTTTTCTTTTATTTCCTTTTTATTGATTAGAACTTAGCTGTGTTCAAAGGCTGCAGGGAGAGAGAATTTTTGTCTGGGAAGAAAGGGAGCTTTTGCACAAGCCGGCTGCTGGGAGCTTGCAGGGGGCCTTCTGGATTCATTTGAGTAATTTACAGTCTATTTTGGTTCTCCCAAGCTGCCCCGCGTGGTTCAACCAAATTAAGCTCATCAGGATCTTTAAAAAGGAAACAACGCCTGTTTATTTGTGGCATTGCCTTGAGAAGGAAGTAGAAGTAGAAGTGGCACCCAGTTCCTTCTCCCTCCTCAGCTTCCATTTGTTCCAGGTTGGATAGGGCAGGTGACAGACCATGCCGATGACTCCGCTGCGACTTGATGTGGGAGCAGAGCTGCCATGTTGGGGCTGCACAGCTCGTTGTCACGGTCATCTGTTGAAGTTGTTCGGTGCTACTATTATAGTGGTGGAGAGATGGACACTATCCTTGCCTTTATAGAGAATGAAAAATATATCCAATAAGGACAGAGTGCAACGGAAGAAATATAACAAAGTGATGTGATGGAAAGTGACAGAGGCAGGGAACTATTTTCCATGGGGTGCCGGTGGAAACCTGAGCTGAGGAGGTGACATTTCAGTTGAGATTCCCAAGCTGGGGGCACAGCAGGTGCAAGCCCTGGGGCCATAATGTCTTGTGTTTTCAAGGACTAGAAAGAAGACAGATGTGGCTGCTGGATGAGGTCTGAGATGTTGGCAGGACCAAATTATTTAGATCCTGGTAGACCCGTGGTTCTCAACTGGGTGATTTTCCCCTCAAGGGAAGTTTGATAATGTCTAGAGACATTTTGGATTGTCACATTCGGGGCGTTTGTAGTAGGCTTTTGGCTAGGTCTGGTGGGTAGAGACCAGGGATGCTGATAACCACCCTACAATGCCCAGGATGACCCCCCTAAGACAGAAGGACCCAGCCCAAAATGGCACTAGTGCCAAGGTTGGCAAATCCTACGACAGACTAGATTCAGGATTTTGGATTTCATTCTGCGAGTGATGGAGGGTGTTAAGCAGGGAAGTGAGAGAATGGCCTACTTCAGTTTCCCTTATAAACCTAGAGTATTGGACCAAATTATTCCAGGTCTGACAGGACAACCTTATCTGACTAAATCAGAGTAGAAAGGAGACTTCAAAGAGTTGGAGATCCTCCCAGAATAAGCGGTCCATTCTCCCTGAGGCCTCTGAGCCTACTTCCTGGGAAGAGTTGTGTGTCTGGTGCTTGGATTTCTGCTCGCAGCAAAGGAAGCCCTAAGGAGGAGGCGGAAGGATGGAGATTGTAGCTTGATCTTTCTCTGGTCTGGAGAAAACTTCAGTCTTTGGTTGCTATTAGTACTTGTTAAGGCTAAAATCATGTATAAGAGAGGAGTCTGAATCACCCTAAGGCTCATCGGTTTAGTTAAGATTTTTCAACGTCAACAGTATTGATGTTTTGGTCCAGATCACTCTGTGTTGGGGGAGGGGTCTCTACTTCTTAGGGTGTTTAGTAGCATTCCTGGCCTCCACTCACAAATGTCAGTAGTATCCCTCTCCCCAGTTGTGACAACCAGAAATGTCTTCAGACATGGCCAAATGTCCCTGGAGGTTGGGGGGGAGAGTTGGTAAAATTGCCAAGGTTGATATAAATTTAATATGCCAATTCTTCGTGGGTGTTCACAAAGATCACCATAAATTCCAGATCCTTTAGAGGAGGGGTCAGGTTGGGGAGCTATTGGAGTAGATGGTCCTGCTTTCTGTTCCTATTTCCTAAGTTTCTTGCCAGCTGGCTGCTGGTCAGCTTTTAAATGTAGCATCTTCTAGGGAAGAGAGAGAAAGAAATCACTGGCTTCAGGAACCCTCTGGGAACAGTTTTGCCCTCGGGCTGTTTGGAGCTGCAGTTTTTGATGCCATGTGGATGCTGTTGCTCACATGTGTTGCATATTCTGGGGCAGAGGAAATGAGGACCCTCCACTTTTTCCAGGGTTGGGTTAAGATACGACCTTGATACCCCAAACCCTGAAGATTATGGAGCTTCGCATCCTATGTTGATCAAGATAATAATTGTCAACTGTAAATCATAGCAGTGGTCTAAGTTTCCCACAATGGTTACGTCAGTATTGTTTCTGAAATAGCACATATCCCGTTCTTACTAAAAGAATAAGATTTCTCTCTTTTTTATTTGAAGTGAGGGTGGAGGGGTATACCCTGCTGCTAGGGGGGCCCAGAGCACACCCCTGTTCTGTCCAAGGGGGAAGCCAGCATTGTCTTTCCCACTTAACAGCAAACACATAAAACCAAGAATGCAAAGGAGTGAGGGTAATGTTATTTGTAAGGCGAATCCTCACTAATTTATTTTAGAAATCCAAATTATTAACCATAGTGGTCAGAGTATCTGGAATTAGTTTCCTGCATCCAAATGTCAGCACTACCACTTTCCAGCTATCTGGCCTCAAACAAATATTTAATCCCTCTGAGCTTCTGTTTCCTCATCTATTATATGGGAGTAATACTCATACCTCACAGACTTATTATGAAGATTGAACCAGTTACTACATATAAAGTGTTTAGCACAATACTTGAGTGACCTGTAGCATTTATTTATTATCATTATTGACACGTTTGTTATCACGTTGTTGCTGCTGTTAAGTGTTCTAAGAGCAGAAGAAACTTTCTGAGATAGAAAAAAATAATTGGGGTCAGAGACCAAAAGAAGTCAAAGAAAGAGGTACCCACTGTCAACCGATCCACCCACAGAAGCCCAGTTATGAGCTTCTGGGATCAATTTCCTGCGTGGTAGGTGCAAAATAAAAGAAGAAAGGCAACTTCCCGACTGTTTCCTTTCTCTGCAGAATGAAGTGGAGCTGGGGGAGCTACTTCTGTCGCTGAATTATCTGCCGAGTGCTGGGAGACTAAATGTTGATGTCATTCGAGCCAAGCAACTTCTTCAGACAGATGTGAGCCAAGGTTCAGGTATAGTGTGATTCCCTCCTTCCCCCATTTCTTCAACAGGGCATTCGTGTTTGTTTGCCACAAAGGACCTGATTTTCTTTTTCTGCATCCTGGATACTATTAATAAGACTCTGTGAGGATAGACAGTATCCGGAACGAGGGAGTTAGTTCAATAGGAAAAATAATCAGATGCCTCTTCAAATGAGGCAGGTAAATGATGCCATCTCACAATCCCATTTGAACTGGGAATTTGACTGAGACCAGATGTGATAATTACTGAAATTTAGATTCTGTTTGTACACATGCAGCCCTGAGGAAGTGACTTGCCTTTCCAGTTGCTATGCCTGCAATAGAGACACCATCCTCCAGGTGGCGTTAGTGTGCACTGGCCATGCATCCTAACCAGCGAAGAGCAGTGTATACACCTAAGGTTTTTCTCCCCAGCTCATTTCAAATGTACCACAAATCTTTATAAATCCAAGCTCTGAAAAGACTGTCATATTTAAAGTGTCTATTCAGACCAATTCAAACATGACTTTTAATGAAATGGAACAGATTACATTCCATCTGTATGTAGCTTCTCCAATGACAGCAAGGATATTATGAAAGTAGCCCTGGTCGCTGGGATCTCTTCAGCTCAGTGGTGGAAGTACTGTCTTCTCTAAGTGCAATAGCTAAAATAAATTACTTTTGCTATAAAGTGACAGCTGAATTTAGAAGACAGTTTGCATTCTCAAAAATCACATTACAAAAACAGGTTTCGAAGGGGCCAATGGAAGGAATGATATTAAGGCTGGAGGCTCAGTATGATAAAATGATTAAGGGTTTCAGAGTCAAACTGCCTGGAACCAAATCCCATTTCTACTGCTTGCAAATAATGTGGCCTTGGAGAAGTTACCTGACCTCTAAAAGCCTCAGTTTCTCCTTCTGAAAAACTGACATAATAACAGTATTCATCTCGTTGGGTTGTTTAAACAATATTCAGTTAGATAATGTACACAAATCTCTTTGTAAATTGTAAAGTGATCTAAGAATGATAGTTATAATTCTGCCATCTCTATTCTGTGTATGGGCTATGGGCTCACTGACATGATAATGGGTTTCCAGGACAGAAAGCCAAGATAGGCTCTGGGTCTGGCTTTCTCCACTAGCCAGATCTTAAGCAAGTCATTTCTCATCTTGAATCCTCACTTTCTTCATCTGTAAAATGCCTGAGGCCTGGGAGGAGCTCAATAAATATTGGGTGGTGGGAGGAAGAGAAGAAGGGAAAAGGAGCAATGAAAAATAGGTAGATAGATGAGAAAATGGATGAATGAAAGGAGGGGTGGATGGGAAGATGGATGGATTGATGGAAAAATAGATGAAAGGATGGGGAGGTGGTTGGGCTGTCAGATAGATGGGAGGATGGATGGATGGATGGAAGGAAGGAAGGAAGGAAGGAAGGAAGGAAGGAAGGAAGGAAGGAAAGAAGGAAGGAAGGAAGGAAGGGTAAAAGAATGAATGGATGGGAAGTTGGATGGATGGATGGATGGATGGATGGATGGATGGATTGGGTTTCATGATCTCTAACATTCTTTGATGTTATATCCAATTCTCAGACCCCTTTGTGAAAATCCAGCTGGTACATGGACTCAAGCTTGTGAAAACAAAGAAGACATCCTTCTTAAGAGGCACAATTGATCCTTTCTATAATGAATCCTTCAGCTTCAAAGTTCCCCAAGAAGAACTGGAAAACGCCAGCCTAGTGTTTACTGGTAGGTAGACCCTGATGACCCCCCCAGGTGAAGTGTGTTCAACTTACTATCCTAGAGGTAGAAGGCACCTAGAAAGGGTAATGTTTAAAAACTTCATGTCTTGTGTTCAGCTTAGGTTTGGATCTACTTACCATTTAGAACCTGAGCAAGACTCTTAAAGCCACATAGCATAATTGTTACAAATGTAAATTTTCCAGCCATATTTCCTGGCATTTCCTATAATTACCGAAACCTTGGGCAAGTTACTTAGCCCCTCTGAGCCTCAGTTTCTTCATCTATAAGATGTGGGTAATAATAGTATTTGCTTCCTAGGTTTGTTGTAAAGATTAAGTGACTTACAATTTTGGAATAATAATAAGTGCTCACTATGTAAGCTTTGATGATACTACTCAAAATAATAGGGGCCTCACAATCCTCAGAGAGGAGGATTTTGAAAGGCTTCCTAGAGGACTTAGTGTTTAAGTAGAGACTTCATGTGCCACTCTGGTTGAATTTAATCTGTCGTTTCCAGGGTATATTAGTTATCCACTGCTACATAACAAATGACCCTAAAATTTAGTGGCTTAAAACAATGAACACATATTATCTCATAGTTCCTATGAGTCAGTAATCCAAGAATACCTTTGCTTGGTGCTTTGTGCCAAAGTTCTTAACAGGTTGCAGTCAAGGTATTGGCTGGGGCTGCAATGTCATCTGAAAGCTCAACTGAGGGAGGACCTGTTTTCAAGCTCACTCGTATAATTGTTGGCAGAATTCAGTTTCTTGCAGTCTATTAGACTGGAGGCATGAGTTCCTTCCCGGGTGTTGGCCAGTTGACCTTCCTCAATCCCTTACCACATGGTCTTCACCGTGGAACAACTCACAACATGGCAGATGACTTCCATTAGAGTGGGCAAGTGAGGGAGCAAGAGCGGGTGAACAAAATGGAAACCAGAGACTTTGTAACCTTATCTCAGCAATGACATCCTATCCCTTTAATTCATTAGAAGCAACTCACTTGATCCAGCTCACATTCAAGCAGAAAGGATTACACAGGGGCATGAATACTGGGAGATGGGGCTCATTAGGAGTCATTTTAGAAGCTGCCCACCACAATATGGTTAGAGTTCATAGAAGTAATGGTTATTATCTCCTGTGTTCCATTCATGGTGGGGGCTTCTCCAATATTACTGCTAATATACATTAGAACCTACCTTGTCAAGTCAAGTTAGTATCATCCTCATCAGTTTACAGTGCTAGGTACCGAGGCTTAAAACCTAAGCTGGTTTTACGACTCAAGCTGGTAGAGAAAGGATTCAAGCTCTGGTCTTGTTAGCTCCAAAGATCAAGGGATCTGCATTTCCTCAAGCATGAGGTAGGCTGGCATTAGGGATCTGACATCATACTTTGAGGAGTCCTGCTCCAGGGTAATTGGAAGCTCTCATCTGTTTAGATCTAGTCTAGCTAGAATTCTTGGCTGCGGGTCTCCCTAGAAATCAGGCCATGGCTGAAACCCCCTTGTGTGCATTGCTTCCTCTACATGAGCTTATCGCTTCTCATCACCGAGACTGCAAATGTTCCCTGTTCCGAGACCCCTCCAGGCAGGTTGGTTCTGAGCTTTCTCAGGGCCTGTCACATGGAGAGTCTGCAGCCATTAGGGGACACCTGCCCTAAGAAAATGTGACAATTCTATCTGATGCAGCCTGTGTGGCTGCTGTCCAAGGAACCTGCTCTCCCTGAGATGTTAGGTCAAGACAGAAGACAGTGACTTCATTGAATCTATAAATGGTGGAGGGCAAGTAATGGGAACTACAGTTGAATCTTATTTAGTCAATAAATACTTATTAACTTCAATAAATATTTATTACTTATACTTTATTCAGTAAGTATTTATTGAAAAAAATTGTGTATAAGTGAACCTATGCTCTTCAAACCTGTGTTGTTCAGAGGTCAACTGTATTTTCAATCCACATTTAAGAATCACAGATTCGAGGAGCTTACTAGTTACATGTAGATTTTCATGTGCGTGGGAGTCAGCACCCCTAACCCCCGCTTTGTTCAAGGGTCAATTCTTTATTGAACCAAGACAGGTCCAGGCATGGAATATATCATTGCCTAAGGCCCCACTGAGAATAAAGGACTTAATGTTGCACCTTTAGATTAGGAAGTTCTNAGGTCCAGGCATGGAATATATCAATGCCTAAGGCCCCACTGAGAATAAAGTACTTAATGTTGCACCTTTAGATTAGGAAGTTCTCTGGGGTCTGGGTGGGGGACGTTGAGAGCCCGTATGGAAAGTCTGACACTTATATTTCATGAAAAATGTAGCACATGGTTGTTATACTGATTGACCCAACCTACAGATGTGTAAGGACAAGGAATCAGAAGAGCAGAGAGGTGAAATGCATGGGCTGTGGGGGGCAGGGCCTGGTTCCTGGCTCTGTCACCTTGGACAACATCTGTGTGCTTATGTTTTCTCATTTGTAAAATGGGGATCACCATACAAGGGCGCATGAAAGGATTGTCACGTGGATTAAATGAGGGGGATCCGTAATCAGTGCTGAGCACTGGGCCTAGCACCTAGCTAGCACTGGGTTAGTGTTAACTCTTATTAAAAGGAAATCTTACTGTCTTCATCATCCCCCTTCCAGTCCCTTCTCCCTGAAGTCAGCACCTTTAATGGTCTGCTGCGTATCATTCCAGACACTTCTTGTTCACACAAACATCCACATATAGAGGATTCGTTTCTTTTACAAAGGTATTCATTAATTCAAGAAGTGTGTATTAAGTACCTTCTTTGAGCTGGACACTGTCTCCGGGTACTGGAATGTAGCAGTGAACAAAACAGACCATCCCTGCTCTTGTGGGGGTTCCAGACCATTCTGTGGACATCACTCTGAAACTTGCTTTTGTGTCATTAACAATGAGTGTGTTCAGTCCCTCCAGGTGAATGTAAATACAAAGGCATCTAACTATTTTTAATTACTGTGTTACATACCATCGCTTGGAATACTATAACAGCAGAGGTTATTCATTCCGGGGGAGGGGAGTGAGGGGTGTGTGACAGCTTCAGAGAATGTGATATGAACTCTGGATGACCTTCCTTAGAAAATCCACAGGGGGACAGAAAAGTTTACGTATAGTTCAGAGGTTTATGGAAACCCTTGAACCCTATATGTGAACCCCTATGTGAGACACCTATATTTTTAAAGCACCCCAGATATTTCTAATGCTGTCAAGGTTCAACACAGCTGTGAGTGAAAATCCTAGCTGGGGTGGCATTTTTCATAAAGGGCACTGGTTGGAATAATAAAAGAATGCAGACTGAGCTGATGTATATCTAGACAAAGCTACTGTTCTTCTGAATCCAAATCCGTAAAGTTCTAGCTTGCTTTACTTACCAACTAGAGGAAAGAGCTGTTACGTCCAAGCTGAGGATCTGAAACCCAGCCCATTAACTTGTTTCCAAACACTTCATAACAAAAGCAAGGTTGATGTGCAATCTAAGTGTTTGCCAAGAATCCTGGTAAAAGCCTGTAATTAGCTGGTGGGCGGGGCTTTCTGTGCAGTTCCTTTCCTGTGTGGGAAAGGGTTCTCTGTAATCTTCAGTCAGGTGCTTTCTGCAGCTGAGGTTTAAAGAAAAGAGGGTGGGAATTGCTTTTCAATTCCTGAGACAGCAAGACGTCATCTAGGAATATGAAGTGGGGTTGGCCACTGAGGTTATTGAGCTGTGATTGGAAGTAGGGGTAAAAAGTGAAAAGAAATTTTAAAAAAAGAAATGCAGCTTACTGATGGTTGTTAAAACATTTTTTAAAAATAGATTTTTATTGATTTCAGAGAGGAAGGGAGAGGGAGAGAGAGAGATAGAAACATCAATGATGAGAGAGTCATTGATCAGCTGCCTCCTTCACGTCCCCTGTTGGGGATCGAGCCCGCAATCCGGGCATGTGCCCTGACCGGGAATTGAACCCCGATCTCCTGGATCATAAGTCGATACTCAACCACTGAGCCATGCCAGCCGGGCTGTTAAAACATTTTAAAATGGAATCGCCATATATGATTTTATAATTCTAGTTCCCGGTGTACACCCAAAAGAATTGAAAACGGGACTCAGATATATGCACACGAATAGTCACAGCAGTATTTTTCACAATAGCTAAAAGATGGGAGCAACCAGGTGTCCATCAGCGGGTGAATAAATCGCTAAATGAAATGTGGCCTATGCATATGGCAGAACATCATTCAGCCTTCAAAGGAATGAGATTCTGACACCTGACCCAACACAGATGAGCCCTGAGGACGTTATGCTAAGTGAAGTAAGCCAGATAGGAAAGCAGAAGCACCGTATGATTCCGTTTGTATAAGGTGCCTGCAGGAGTCAGATTCATAGGGACAGAAAGCATGGAGGTTACCAGGGCGGAGGGCAGGCGGGAGAATGCAGAGTTATTGTTCAGTGGGTACAGAGTTTTAGTCTGGGGAGATGAAACGATTCTGGAGGCGGATGGCGGTGATGGTTGCACAACCAACGTGAATTGCCTTAGTAGTGAATTGTTTACCTACAAAAAAGGCTACAGCGGTCACTGTTATGTTACATGCACCTTACCACAATTTGAAAAGGAAGGGAGAGAGGGAGGAAAAGAAATGTAGCTCGAGGTCCACAGGACCCAGAGTTTCTCTGAGCAGTTCAGGGTAGTGCCTGATGCTGAGGCTGGACCCTTGCAAACTGTCTCCCTGGGACAAGTCACCATTCTTTCACTGCTGCTCTGAGAGGGTGACCACAGAGGTTAGGGGCCAGACCCCCAAGCCAGATGCCCGGGGTTCCCTGTGTGAACTTGGCACTTTCCTTGGCCCCTCTGTACCTGAGCTTCTTCATCTGTAAAGTGGGGATAATGGTCCTTGCTTCAGTAGATTGTTGTCAAGTCCAAAATGGCTTAATATATGTAAAGGTTGGAATGGTGCTGGCTCAGAAAGTGCTCCGTAAGTATTAGCTGTTATTATTACTTGAAGGACNTTGGAATGGT